TATGTGTGTGTGTGTGTGTGTATGTGTGTTTGTAAATATTAATATATTCAATTTATTATATATATATATATATATATATACTCTCTGTTGGTCGATTATTTGTAATTTGGTTCAACGGTGCCTAGTCAACTATGATCGGAAAATGAACACACTGTGTACGCTATTTCTAGTATATCACCATTCTTACACTCACCCATACCCTATAACTCTAAACCCTACAACCCTACAACTTCTTCTCTGTATTCAGTTGATGAGACCTTCAAGAACGCTCGCCCTGAGGGAGGGATCTACGAAGACAGCAAGAAGGAAAAGGAGACCAAACGCCGAGACGAGAAGCGAATGGCCCGTCTAGAGGAAAAGCTCAACATCAAGGACGAGTGTATGTGCTTATATGTATACTGATTGTAGACTGAAAGTATTAGAGTGCTTATATGTTTACTGGTTGTAGGCTGAAAGTATTAGAGCAGAAGCTCAGCATCAAAGACGAGTGTATGTACTTATATATATACTGATTATAGACTGAAAGTATTAGAGTGCTTATATGTATACTGGTTGTAGGCTGAAAGTATTAGAGGAGATGCTCAACATCAAGGACGAGTGTATGTGCTTATATGTATACTGATTGTAGGCTGAAAGTGTTACAGACACTCATGGTCCACTGCACATCTTATTTCATCTTAAATGCTATTATCTTATTTCGTCATATGTCCTGTCTAACACCTTTATTCCGTCATACATTGTTTTATTATTTTGTCATGTGTAATTTTAGGGGAGTGGTTGAACCACGACAAGACTCTGCGTGAGCAAGGGGCTGGAGAGAACGACTCAGTGCGTCTGCGCAAAAAGTTCTTCTTTTCCGATCAAAACGTCGACCGGAACGAGTGAGTGATGTGACATAACAGTTGTGAGTGGTGTTGTATATGTATCATTGAATGGTTTAATATTTGATATATAAGAGTGAGTGCTGTTGTATGGTTATCATTTTTTCTATATAAGAAGTTCTTCTTCTCCGATCAAAACGTCGACCGAAACGAGTGAGTGGTGTAACACAACAGTTGTGAGTCGTCAGTAGCAGTGTAAGCTTGTCGTTAGACGGTTCAATAGTAGTACGAGTATATAACAAGTACGCAAACCCCTCGTCAATCTGTAGTCCCCAGGATCTGGGAGCTTATCCCCCCGCATTTTAACCCCCTAAAACCCTAAAACCCTAAAACCCTGGTTCGTACTCTCTACCCCCAGTCCTGTGCAGCTCAATTTGATGTACGTACAAGCACGCGACGATATCCTTAAGGCGGCTCACCCGTGCACCGCTGACGAGGCCCTTCAATTCGCTGCGCTGCAATGCCAAGTGCAACTAGGCGATCACAACCCAGGTGAGATAATGCTTCACCCGCTGCTACATGCTGTGTGGGGGTGAATGTGTGTGTGCATGGTTAGTTATTACATACTGTGTGTGGGTGTGAATGTGTGTGAGGGTGGATGTATTTGTGCATGATTAGTTGTTTCATACTGTGTGTGTGTGCGTGAATGTGTGTGTGTGTGCATCACTGGCTGCTGTCTGCTGTGTGGAAGTGTGTATGTATGTACATGACTATGTAAGGTTTTAACCCTAAACCCTAGTTGCCATATACAGTGTGTGTGTGTAAATGTACGTAGGGCTACTTTGTCGGATACCTGTGGCACCAGTTGCCACATACTATGTGTGTCCATGTACCCACACACACTTACACACTCAGCCTACGCGGTACCACATTGTGTACTGCAACCTCCAACCAATACCCGACACATGACCACGCACGCACAAACCACACACCCACAACACATGCACACACACAACACCCACCACCCAACACACACAACACCCAACACACAACACACAACACACACAAGACCTCACACCCCTCTCTCCTCACACGCACAGACACGCACAAAGCCGGGATCATGGACTTCAAACAATACCTACCCAAGGGCAGCACAGACATCAAGAAGTCCGAGACACGCATCGCCAGCGAACACCGTAAGCTCAAGGGGATGACTGAGCTCAATGCAAAGTACCGGTACATCCAGCTGTGTCGGTCGCTGAAGACTTACGGCATGTCCTTTTTCTTGGTTAAGGAGAAGGTCAAGGGCAAGAACAAGCTGGTGCCCCGGCTGCTGGGTATGTGCGTACAGGCGTGTTTAGGTATATGGTAGGTATGTGGATATAGGAGTGTGTAGGTATGTGGTAGGTATGTGGCTACAGGAGTGTGTAGGTATATGGTAGGTATGTGGGTACAGGCGTGTGTAGGTATATGGTGAGTATATGGGTACAGGCATGTGGAGATATATAGTAGGTATGTGGCTACAGGAGTGTGTATGTATATGGGCAGAAACGTGTGTATAGAAATCCGGTGGTGATGTATAAACGCGTACGCTCTGTTGCTGAACGTACTCAGATATGTTGGGGTATCTGGCAGAGTTTGTCTGTGTAGGGTTAACTGAGGCTCGTTCCCCACGAACTAGGTGTGTGGGTGTTTTACGTTTACGTTTTAGAGTGGTCTGTTCCTACAACACAAACGTATATTCCAGGCAAGAATTTAGAAATTATCTAGAGGCGTACTGAAATGTTTGTATTATACGCGTGTACGGTTATAGCTGGCAGGTGAAGATGTCTTATGGCGCATGCATCGAATGCGTTAAAGTGCTCGGATATACAGGGATGTCCTCTAGAGTTTGTATGTTTGCTTGCTACTGTATCAAAACAAATTGCACACGTACACACGTACGCACATACACATACGCACAAACAAAACTCTCACACGTACTGTATTCTACGTAGGCGTGTCTCGTGACTCCATCATGCGCGTGGATGAACACACCAAAGAGGTGATCAAGACATGGCCCCTATCGACTGTGCGGCGGTGGGCAGCCTCTCCCACCAGTTTCACATTGGACTTTGGGGACTACTCACAGGAGTACTACAGCGTGCAGACTACCGAGGGCGAGCAAATCTCGCGCCTGATTGCTGGGTATGTGCCTGTGCTTGGTGGTCACACGACGCAAATATAGATATATATATATATATATATATATATATATGTGTGTGTGTGTGTGTGTGTGTATAGATAAGTGATAAATACATGCTTGTTTGCATCATTGCGGAATGTGTGTATATATACAATACCACAGTAGTACAGCACATACACCATCCACACTATACAGTCTCCCCATCCTCCTACCCTCCCAGATACATTGACTTTATCCTCAAGAAGAAGAAGGAGTCTGAGTACCGGCCCATGAATGATGAGGGTAGTGGTGTGACGTTTACGGACAATATTGCACCTGGGCAGGGCTCCGCAGTACAGTACCTCAACAGCAACATTGGGCGCGCCACGGAGACCAATGTGGGCCGTGTGGGAGTGGTCAAGGGCACACGCAACGGTGTGGCCCAGATCAGCCGAGATGGTAGGTAGATTCTAAATATGGTAGTAGGTAGGAAGATTCTAAATATGGTGGTAGGTATATAGAGCGAGCGTTGTAGCAGCTACACTGAGACTACTGCAGAGCGTAACATAACACACCATCACATCACCCCACAGGCTACCAACGCTCTCTGACCACCCACCGCAACACCAACCGCCTCATGCTCAAGGACTCGGCCGAGAACGACCCCGAAATGGCCCTAATTAAGGCCGAAGACGACTTCTTTATGGCTCGAGCCAATCTCGAGGGCAACCTGACCTCAGGACACGCGGTGATTAATGCGTGCAGCTCAGACCTACAGAACGCCACTTCACTGCCACCACTGGGCTCTGATGTCGCTTCGTACCAGGTAGGTAAAAATAAAACCCTAAACCCTAAACCTTAGAACTCTAAGTGCTGTATAAACACTTATTTCCCTTACCTGCGGATCTCAAACCCTGCACACGTTTAGTACTTGTCTTCCGGTCATATCATCCCAAACACGCTTACTATTACTGTCCTACTTAGTATTATTCTCTATCACACGCCTCGTGGAAAAACATGTCTACTTATTCGCTTATACACACTCGGCTGATGTTGTGTTGTTGTTTTTGATCGCAGTGGAAGAAGCAAACAATGGAAGTCAATGCAGTTAACGCCGCCGCACAGCTAGCATCACTCTCTGCCACCACAGCCAACATCATGATGCTCACGGGTAGGTTTTACCCGTACACACACACACACATATATATATATGTATATATATATA